TATTTGACATTTTTCTTTTTTTTTTTTGGAGATGAGTCTTGCTCTGTCGCCCAGGCTGGAGAGAAGTGGCGTGATCTCGGCTCACTGCAACCTCCACTTCCCAGGTTCAAGCGATTCTCCTGCCTCAGCCTCCTGAGTAGCTGGGATTACAGGCATTCCCCCACCACGCCTGGCTAGTCTCACCTTTTTAAACCCCCATCTCTCCCCAAGATCCCTGAGGCCAGGTACAAGCACGATGTGAATGGGCTGTCTCCATAGGGTGACAGAGGCTGGTCTGTTTTCCAGGGTGGTAGGGGCTGTTCCTAAAGGGAGGAAGGGATGATAACCAGCCTCCTGAATCTCCTACTCCGTGTTAGCGTCTCAGGCTCTGCCAGGCCTGAGAGACCCTCTCATTGACACTGCCCACTAGATGGGGGCTGGGTTTGGCCTCCACTTCTGAGGAACCTTCAAATCCCAGCCCCCAACTAAAGCATGTAACTCAAGACCTATCTGAACTCAAAGCTCTCCTCAACCTGAGCAGGCTGGTACAATTGAAAGGGTGGGTCTGACCACCTCTCCAGCACGCACGGGGGTCAGCAGAGGTACACAGGACCTGCCACTCACCATTCACCATGTGGCCTTGGGGAAGACACACTCGGAGCCTGTTTCCTCATCTGTAAAATGGGGATGTAATTACACCCTCACAGTGTAGTTGCGAGTATTCAATGAGAACACTGCAAAGGGCTGGTGTGGAGTAGGTCCTCAGGAAAGGTTGGATCCCATGTCCCATCACAGCTAAAAGCCCCAGGAGAGGGTGCCTGGTTTGTCCTCACACACCCCTGGGATCCCAGGCTCCGTAGCCCCTTGCCCCGTTCTCCAGGCAGACTCTGTTGAACTCCCCCTCCTCTCAAACTCGGGGGCAGGAAACAGTGAAGTAGGAGCAGCCCTAAGTCCGGGCAGGGTCCTGTCCATAAAAGGCTTTTCCCGGGCCGGCTCCCCGCCGGCAGCGCGCCCCGCCCCCGGCCCGCTCCATCTCTAAAGCACGCAGAGAATGTCTCGGCAGCCCCGGCAGACTGCTCCAACTTGGTGTCTTTCCCCAAATATGGAGCCTGTGTGGAGTCACTGGGGGAGCCGGGGGTGGGGAGCGGAGCTGGCTTCCTCTAGCAGGGAGGGGGCCAAGGGGCGAGCCAGCGGCGGAGGCTGACATCACCACGGCGGCAGCCCTTTAAACCCCTCACCCAGCCAGCGCCCAGTCCTGTCTGTCCAAGCCCAGGCACAGGTCTTCATTCCTTCCTGCGAGCCCCGAGGAAGCCCTGTGAGTGCATTTGCTGGGGCTTGGAGGGAAGTCGGGCTGGAGCTGGACAGGCGCAGTGGGTGCATTTCCGGCAGGCTCTCCTGAGGTCGCAGGCGCCAGCTCCCTGGCTGGGGAAACTCACCCGCTCTGTCGGCATGGAGGCCCAAGCTCCAGGCGGGGTGGGCTGGATCGCTAGCGTCCCGGATCTCTCTCAGACCGGGCAGCCCCGGGCTCATTGAAATGCCCAGGATGACTTGGCTGGTGCAGAGGAGTTGATGGTGGCAACCACCGGGGTCAGAGGGAGGCTCCCCATCTCAGCCAGCTGCATCCACAGGGTATGCGCAAGGCTGCAGGCGCCGCGCGGTTAGGCAAGGGCTCTGCTGTCTGTCGCCCCTCTAGGAGGACCTCCAAAGAGGTGAGGAGTGTGCGAATGCACCTGTGTTGGAGCGCAGTGTCACACTGGAGGGTCCCTAAGGCCTGAACAGCAGGGATAGCCCTGCGACAACGTGAAGGGCCACAGAACTCTTGTATCCCACAGTTTGGGGCGGCCTGTCCTGCCGACACACAGCCCCTTCCTCTGTCTGAGAGTGGGAGTCCTCTCCACGGTAGCAGATAGGTGGGGGCGGTACTGCCAAGGACTAGCTTTGGAGTGATGGGCGGGGCAGGCCTGGGACCTTTGGTTTTTCCCAAAGGGTGGTTCCCCTTCGAGTTTACTATTCCAAAGGTAGCAGTGAGGATGGCACGCGTTTATGTAGTCAGACCACTCCTGTTTGTTCATGGAGTAGAGAGGAGCCACCCTCCTTTCCTCTCAGAGGTTCAGATGTGTTCACTCCTATTTGGGAAGTGAGAAGGGGTACATCAGCCCTGCAGGGACCCCTGGTTCCACTCGTGTTTCTAGGCTTCTGCTGGTAGGGGGTACCACCTGCCTGTTTGCCCCTGGACTTTGTTCTTTCTCCACTGCCCACCTTTACCCACTGGGCAGCTGGGGAGGGGCCCTGGCAGACGCCACAGGACTGGAGGATCCAAGCCCATCCATGCTGTCTTGGGAGTGTCTTGAGACGCCCCTGGGTGGGCGGCCCCAGAGTCATCCTCCTCTCTCCCTCTCTAGTAGCTTGAAGGCGGGACTGGGGAGGCTTCATCAGAGGACTCTAAGGGATTTCTGGGGATTCTCCACTTTTAGACTCTGACCCAGGAGGAAGAAGGGGAAGGATGGTAGTACTGGGCGGGAGTGGGGGTGGTGTGTGCTTCATCCTTCCTCTGACTGAAATCCAAGTCTTGTTTCTAGATCCGGGGGCTGCAGCATTCTGTACCTGTCACCCTCAGCCTTAACGCTTTGACCTGTTCTGTCTGTTCTGACCCTCCGAGACTGGAAGCTGGGGGTAGGGGACAGATTCTCCTTCCATCCTGTTCCTCAGGAGCCCAGCAAGGGTGCAGGCAGGGAAGGCAGGCATGAGGGCAGGTGGAGTGGCGGTAGAGGCAGGGCCTGAGACAGAAGGTGGGTGCCTGTCTGGGATGGTGGTGCGAAGGCTGAGACAGAGGCTGGGGAGGATGGAAGCCAGGATGCAGGGCTACCAAAATCACCTGGTCCCAACTGACCTGGGGGTTTGGACCACAGTTCTTTGTGCAGGAGTCCTTGGGCGGTTGGGGAGCAGGGGTGGGACACACAGGGTGAAGGGAGGGATTGGCTGTTTGTAGCTGAACAGCAGAACAGAGCACTCTGCCTTTGGGGTCTCTGGCATCACTGGCAGGGAGAGGGATGGCTGGGCCAGGAGCCCACCTCATCCCCAGTGCTCAGAGAACTGGGTTCTCAGAGGTGGTCCTGTCCCCACTTTGCACGTAAGGAAACAGACGCAGGGAGGAGAGAATGCCCAAAGGTGGGGATTTCAATGAGTCCATGTGAACATTGTTGTGCGCTCAGGGAATGATTGTGAGAAGGGGTGGAGGCTGGAGCAGGCAACAGAGAACTGACATTTCGAGGTCCGTTTTTCACTCCTTGGTTAAGGGCAGGCTCTCTCCCTGGTCATTACCAGGAGCCTGGCTCTGGGCAGCAAAGAACTGACATTTCAAGGAGCTCTGCTAAGGGCCGGGCAGTATATAGGGGCGTTCACAGACACCGTCCCATTTTCACAGCCCTCCGAGATTGATAACATAACCCCCACTTCCCAGACAGGGACTCGAGCGCAGAAAGGCTGTCGGCCCTGGGAAAGGAAGGGCAGGGCATCAGGCTGAGCACCTGGCCTGGGACCTGTGGGATGTGATGGTGTTCGCTCTGCTTCCCACAGAGTGGGATGCCGGTGGGGTGGGGTCTCACCAGAGAGGGAGCCAGGGGTGCATGCCCTTGCCTCCGTCCTCAGACCAGTGCGCATCTCCTGACCTCTGACCTCTCTGAGGCCAAGGGATGGTTCAGCTTCCTTTGGTACTTCTTTTGGAAGTCTCTTCAGACAAACACTGGAGAGAAGGCACAGAACCCTAGGGTGACATCAGTGGCCACGTCAGGTTCCTGTTCTCAGCCACCCCCATCAGCCCAGACACCTACCTGCCTGGCCTGCTCCTGCTGCCACCCCTCTCCATGAGTGGGACTCCTGAGCAGTGCCAGGCCCAGGCCCTCGGGGTGGTAGTTACTGGATGGGGCTGGGCTTCTCATTCCCTGGCAGGCAGACTCTTGGCTCTGGAACATCCCTGGGGAGCTCTGACTTCTTGGTTGCTCAGACTCCTCCAGTTGTGAGAGCCTAAGGGCATGAGGAGGAAGTCGATGGGTAGACCAGGTGTCTCATCTGGTTCCTCTGAGGATATGCAGCTTCTTTGCCAAGAGCTTTTGGGCTTTGGTGGCTTCCTAGCCCTTGCCTGGAGTGGCAAGTTTTATTCTCTTCAGCTGCAGACTGGAAGCTGAGCTGACCTGGCAAAGAGCTGGAGTTCTGAAGTTCCAACTTCCAGGCCAGGGCCAGCTTCCGGGTGAGAGTGGGAAGTAATGGTTCCATGAGGCAGAGGCAGTAAACCCCCACACCCAAAGCTGGACAAACGCACTGGCTGGCTGTGGGGGCAATGTGGCTTCTGGAAGATCTCTCCAGTGGCTCTGTGACTGGTCTTGGCAAAGAATGTTCTAGACCAAGGGTTGCCAAACTACAGCTCATGGGCCAAATCTAGCCTGCTGTCTGCTTTTGTAAATAAAGTTTTATTGGAACAGAGCCATGTTCATTTGTTACATATTGTCTATGGCTGCTTTCACACTGCAACAGCAGAGACCATATGGCCTACAAAGCCTACAATATGTTCTGTCTTGTCCTTTACAAAAATAGTTTACTGACCCCTGCTCTAGACCTCCAAAGATCTGGTATCCTATTTCCTGGTGTTTCAGTTCAGAGAGGTGTCTAGACTAGGGGCTGAGCTTGGCCTGGATGGGCAGTGCTGTGGCAAGTGTCTAGGATGGCTGGGTACCCTGCACAGAGCTAGAAGGCTGCCTGGCAGGGGTGAAAGCAGAGCTGCTCCCTGATCCTCTGCCCCTCCCTCATTCACCCTGGCCTGCTTTAGCTCTCCCCAGACATGGCCAACAAGGGTCCTTCCTATGGCATGAGCCGCGAAGTGCAGTCCAAAATTGAGAAGAAATACGACGAGGAGCTGGAGGAGCGGCTGGTGGAGTGGATTATAGTGCAGTGTGGTCCAGATGTGGGCCGCCCAGACCGTGGGCGCCTGGGCTTCCAGGTCTGGCTGAAGAATGGCGTGGTGAGTGGCACCCTGGGATGGGGGGCTGGGGTGTACCACCCTGTGAGTCCCGGGCCAAGCCCTGGGCTGAGCGCTAAGCTGCATCCTATACCCTGTGCCTGGCAGATTCTGAGCAAGCTGGTGAATAGCCTGTACCCTGATGGCTCCAAGCCAGTGAAGGTGCCTGAGAACCCACCCTCCATGGTCTTCAAGCAGATGGAGCAGGTGGCCCAGTTCCTGAAGGCAGCTGAGGACTATGGGGTCACCAAGACTGACATGTTCCAGACTGTTGACCTCTTTGAAGGTAGAGAGGAGGAAGGGACTGGGGGAGGAGGAGGGCAGGAGGACAGGGTGCTGGGCAGGGAGAGGGAACGACCAGAATATGCCACAATTAGGGGTGTGCCCGCCGGTGCACGGCAGGGATGGGATATGCTGAGAATAACATGCCACGCTCACAGGGCCCCACTGAGAGGCCTCCCTTGATTTGGGGACAACTCTTGCCTCTGGTTTGGCCATTTTTCTGTGAGAGACGGAGGCTGGCCCTGGCTTGGAACCTTGTTTATACATTCCTGATGTTCGTCTCCTCTCCCCTTTCTTCTCACAGGCAAAGACATGGCAGCAGTGCAGAGGACCCTGATGGCTTTGGGCAGCTTGGCAGTGACCAAGAATGATGGGCACTACCGTGGAGATCCCAACTGGTTTATGAAGTATGTGGCCCTTAGAGAGCTTGGGTCTCCCTCTGCATGGGGTGGGAGGCGGCTCGTGCTAATGGGTTTTCGGGAAGGATTAGGGGAAGCGGAAAGCCAGGAAGGGATGAAGTGAAGGTCTGCGGTCGGGGAATAACGGGTCCTTAATACTCCTTGACCCCTTCCTTTCCACCCTCCTGTGCTCAGTCTCCCTAGCCTAGGAGGCAAGCTAGATTAGGGAAAAAAAGTGAAACAGGAAGGCAATGAGATTGGGCTAGGACGTAACAGAGGGATCAGAACATGGGTGGAAAACACGCAGTTCTAGCAAGTCTTTATTCTGGTTCCTCCTCTTCTAGGAAAGCGCAGGAGCATAAGAGAGAATTCACAGAGAGCCAGCTGCAGGAGGGAAAGCATGTCATTGGCCTTCAGATGGGCAGCAACAGAGGGGCCTCCCAGGCCGGCATGACAGGCTACGGACGACCTCGGCAGATCATCAGTTAGAGGGGAGAGGGCCAGCCCTGAGCCCTGCCCTCCTCCGGCTCCTTGGCTGCAGCCATCCCGCTTAGCCTGCCTCACCCACACCCGTGTGGTACCTTCAGCCCTGGCCAAGCTTTGAGGCTCTGTCACTGAGCAATGGTAACTGCACATGGGCAGCTCCTTCCCCTTCCCCCGGCTCAACTTCCTATCCCAAAGCATCACTGCCCTGGCCCCTCCCTCCCAGCTGCCCCCACCACCCCTACTGTCTCGCCCCTGAGTAAAGCAGGGGAGAAACGGTCTGGGGGTAGCCTGGATGTGGGTCAAGTCCACTGTCCTTGGCAGCAAAAGCCCATTGAAGAAGAACCAGCCCAGCCTCCCCCATCTTTTCCTGGAATATTTTTGGGGTTGGAACTCAAAAAGAAAAAAAAAAAAATACATCAATCTTTTCTCAGGCCTGGCTAGCAGAGTTTGATTTGCCCTGGTCACTTGTGTTAGTTCCAGATCTGAGCAGGGGACGGGCAGGCATCTCGGGCTTATGTGTGCTCCTGGCTGCTGTCCTCTGAAGGACCCTTCACGTGCCAAGATTCCAGGAGGGTCAGATTCTCTCAGAGGAAACAGGCTGTGGAACAGGAGAGTGAATCTTGGGGACCGAAGGGAAAGAGGAGCCACTCAGCAGCTTGCAGCGGCTTTGGGGAGACAGGAAAGGAGAGCTCGCGAGTGGCAGAATTGTTTGGAAGGTTTTTATTTTGGAAAAGCTGTGCAGAAAAAAATTCAGGAAAATGTTGCTGTGAAAAGAGACAAACAAATCTTAAGCATTAAAAAAAATTCAAATCAACCAACTAGCTCAGAAGAGGGGAGAAGGCCAAGATTGAGAGAAGAGTCACAGCCTGTCAGGCAGATAGCTGGCCTCTGGCGGGAAGGCCATTTCCCTGAGCACTTGCAGAGGAAGACAGGGTGGTGGCAGGACTGGAGTGGCAGCGGCTCTCAAGGCTGTCTCCTCCGACACACACGTCTGCCATCTGCTCTGCAGTCCTGCCGTGGGATTCCCTAGTGAAGCAGCTCAGGCCCGGGGAAGCTGTGTGTATCCCAGCTGTGCCAGCAGCATCGGACCAATCACGGCGGGTGGGGGGTGGTGGTGGTGGTGGTGAAGAGCCAGGGGTTCATTCAAGGTTGGCTTCTGATCAGGCATCTTGGGAATGGATAATGGAGGTGGCCACTTTCAGGACAGGCATGTCCAGGGGCTCTTCCCAGCCTTTACCCCAAAGTCTTCTTCCCAAGTGACCCCAGTCATGTTTCCATGGAGATGCACTCCTGGCTATGGCAGGCACCTTCTCAACTCGTGTGGGTGGGGGGCCCCCATGCATGGGGGACCTAGACAACTGGCTTGCCCAAGAGAGATGAAGATGGAGGACTACCCAAAGGGGGCGCCAATCCCCTGTCCAAGACCTTCTCCCCAAAAGCTCCTGTTTGGCTGCAGGAAGACCCTGTGGCTCTCACCAGACTTCTCTGGCACCAATCCTCTGCCATTTGTATCTTAAGAAGGCCCTCACCCTCTGAGTGGAGTCACAGGATGCTGTTTAGGCCTCAGATTCCAGATGTAAGCATCAGGTCTCTCCGGAGCTCCCTAATTTTGGGAAAGAAGAGCCTGTCCCATACTGTCAGGCCCTGAGGTCAGCAGATCTGCTCCTCCTTCCCGTGCAGTAGGTCTAGGTGCTGATGGGGGCAGTCCAAGGCGCTCTTGTTCTGGGACAGGCTCCAGTCCCCTTGCTCCAACGGGTCTGGGGCAAGGAGGTCAGAAGTGGTGGGAAGGCCCCTGCTCTCTGTTTCTACTTCGTCTGGATCCTTGCTGCTGCAAAGTGGCACTGATTCTAGCTCTGTCCCTTCCTCCTTGGCTTTCCGGCTTCGATGGGGCCAGTGGCAGGGTCCACTCCTACAAGCTTGGTTGGAAGCCACATTCCTCTGGCTCAAATATACTTCCACCATGTAGTAAACGGTCCAGAAGACGGTGAAACAGCCTACCAGCACCAGGGTCTGGGGCCGAGGCAAGCACCTACATGAGGCACTGTTTCCCGAGGCCTACAGCCTTTCTCAGCCCAGGACAATGAGCTCAGAAAGTCTTTTTCCTTCTAGAGACTGTCCTTTTCACCCCCTCCCCTGACAAGGCCTATCCTGTAAGAGTTAGGCTAGCAGGGTAGGAGCAATGCTATGAAACCACTGCTGGAACCCAGGTCTTCCCTGTCCTTCAGCCCCAGGCCACCCTGAGCAGCACACTACGAACTCCATCCCCACACAGGACAGTCCTGTCTACCTGTAGCCCTAGTACCTTGAGGGTGTTGGGGGTGATGGTGTAACCATCTTCCTCAGGAATTTTCAGCCCAGGCGGGCAGGGCAGGACAAAGTCATCATGCAGGTATTTTCCGCTCATGGCACTTTCTAACAGCCTGTGGAGAAGAAAAGGAGTGAGGAAGCCCCACTGACTGTGGTTCTGATACCATTTGCCCTCATCCATCTTCCCACCTTACAGCTGAAGACAGGGAAGCCCCACAGCAAAAAGGCGAGGCCCAGACTGTAAGTTCCCAGCCCATGGCTCCATCTACCGGCTTGAGGCTGGAGCTGGGAAGCACAGCTGGGGTTCGGAGGGAGATGGGCTCCCTAGGCGGCCCTTCCCGTGAGTGGCCTTCCCTCTGACACATGCGGCTATACCCACCTTTGTCTGTCCCTGATGTCTACTGGACTCCACACAGAGCCATATAGGGTCAGCTGCCATTGCCGAAGGATGCCGACCTGGAATGACTCATCCCCTAGGGCAGCAAGGGGCAGCTCGTGAGCCACACCCCTCTGTCAGCCATGCCAAACAGCAGAGGCCCTGCCCTCCCTGCCACCCAAAGGGGCTCAGGCCGCATGGTCTGCTCTAGGAGCTGCCTCACTGTGTCCCACTGACCCCGGGTTCTGCAGAAGGGCCTCACTGGGTACCCTTAGGGATGGAAAGGGTTGAAAGGCTGTATTCCAAAGCAGAATCTTGCTTTTCTCTCCCATATTTTGGGGGTTCAGCTGGGATTCTGCTTGGAAAAAAAAGTCTTTCTACCAAATTAAAGAAAGCTTTTAAAACCACTGGTCTAGTGAATACCGAACTTGATTGGAGGTTGGGAGGGTTGAGTTCAATTTCTGGTCTATATGCTGACACTAAAGATATTCAAAATTCATGGATATTGTGGCCTTCATTGATATGATGACCTTCCATAAATCACCTCAAATCTCTGGGCCAGTTAAAAAAAAAAAAAACGGTGAAAATGAGTCCTGCCCTTACCTGCCTATCAGGGCTGGCCGAAGGATGGTTATATGTGAAAGGACTTGAAATGTGGTTTCAACAAGGAATTTTTGTTGCTATCCTGAGGAAAAATGGATCGGTCACTCCTCCAAGGAATACGAGAGGTCGTATAAACAAACAGTTTCAGATAGCAATGCCCATTTTATGGATGGGACACACTTCTTGGCATCAACCCTCTTGGTCCAATGGCAACACTATATATGGCACACGGGAAACTTTCTGTGGGGACTCTGAGATGCAGAGGGACCAGATAACAAGCAGGAAAGGCAGGGCGTGGCACAAGGGCAGGAGGCTCACCGACATCCCTGACAACAAGCCTGTAGGTCCCCCGGGCTCTCTCCCCCCAGCATCGCACAGTGGAGAAGGTCCAGTCATCAAAGCCATTAGGATCCCTGGGGAAAGAAGACAGCAGAAACAGGTGGAAGGCGTGGGTCAGGGAGCTGACCTTCCCCCAGCAGCGCTTTCGTACTGTAGTAGCCATGGAAACAACTAGGAAGGGTGTCACAAGGGGTTCTCAGGTGCCCCTTGCCCCTGGGGTCTCATGGAAGGAGGAACTTGTGTCAACATGGTGTGGTGGAAAAAGCAAGCATGGCGCGCACAGGCTTGGAGTCCCACGGATCTAGATTTATTCTTATTCTCCTGGGCACTTACTGGCTCCATGACTTGTTTCCTAATTTTTTTTTTTTTTTTTTTTTT